ATCTTATTGACAAAAGTGGTTTCGGGTGGAATTAGTATCATTTAAAAAATATGACATAACTTAAAGAATTGCTACATTGACATTGTTACAATGATTACAGCATTTGTTTGGATTTGCTCACAACCTGTTCTGAAACATGGCATCAACACAATCCTTGAACATCTATCAACAGGTCACCTCGTGGCTTAGTCAGAAGGCACAATTCTATATTTCTATGTTGTGTTGCCTTCGAAAGATGATTGCAATATTTTCAATTGGCGCTGAATAACATTATTATTATTATTATTATTATTATTTTGTTCACACATTGCTGGTTCTCAGGAAGATCTGGTTTTCAAATAACAACGGGTTTTTCGCCGTTTTTTTGTATTAAAAGTGTATTTAAGAATCTGAATTTAGAATGTTCCGGACAATGCGGCAAATATTTAAGATAACAGACTTCTGCATTAATTTTAAAAGCCTTGGAGAGATATCGAGTTTTTTGAAGGTTTTCTATGATATGATGTTCTATGAAGTATTTACTAGGCTGTCCGGGTGACGCCGCGTCCATGGCGAAGGTGCCGACGTTTCGGTCGCCATTCTGCGACCTTCCTCAGGGCGCAATGCACTGGCACTGGCCGAGAATTTTTTTGCATGTTCCTGTAAGAAGGGATTGCATCATCAATGAGAGAAGTAGTTTTAGGCATCTTTAGAGATGTCACAATATCTGGCCTGGTGTGTTCTAGAGTCTTGTACGTCAAAATTGGGCAATCGGAATAAATTCTGAGCATTTCATTTTCCAGCACACGATCACTTTTGTATGTGTAGTAAGGGGTACAATGATAACTAAATTTATGGATAATTGCAATTTGTTGGTGTATAATGGTTATGGCGCATTGCGTGATTTGTCTGTGCGAGGGTTGCACATCCTGACATGATGTGATATATATTTACATTTGCACGTTACATTTGCAGCATTTTCAGATATGATATTATTATTATTATTATTATTATTATTAAAAACTGAATGAGACATTACACTTTCAGGATAAGGAGGAAAAGTAAGTTTGCGCATTAGAATTATAAATAACATAAGATCGGGGGCGATCAGATGGCGGAGATCGTGTCGTAGCGGTCTTGGACCAGAAGATCAGGGGTTCGAGTCCCGCCTCGGGCATGGGTGTGTTTGTAAGTCAGTATCACCGAAAAAAAAAAAAGAAACCGTTAGAGTACACCAGATCCATGATACTGTAACAAGGAAACTTGTTACAGTATCATGGATCTGGTAAACTCCAACGGCTTTTTTTCGGTGTATGTGCGTGTGTTGTGCTTTCACGCTGCACTATTATTTCATCTTCCATGCACCCAGGGCTGACAACCCTGGGGGATAAATATCCGATATAGCTAAATGCTGATACCATGATAAAATTACATGCAACTGCCAGCGCGGTAATGTTACTGAGCCCCAGTAAATGCAAAGTGCAATTCACGCGTGGACCAAGTCGGCCTATTCAGCAAATGTACGAAAGTCTCGGTAATACGGTATTTCGCGAAATCCGAACCATCTTAGCAAGAAATATCCGTCCTCTAAAATCTGATACCATGTTATATATGCCAATGTAAATTTAAAATTATCCATTTTAAAATGGACATAAATACTATTCTGGTTTCTTTACATTTCTGATAAATTGTGTTTCGCCTTCGTATAAAGCATGCTCATACCAACCTAGTAGAATAATTGAAGCTCAATTGCATGTCAAAATCTACATCAGTGAACCGGCGTGTGATTCCAACATTAATATGTCAAGGTTCTCCAAGGAAACGAAAGAATGGCTGCGGGGACAAGTCTCCTTAGGCGACTCAGATGCCCATGTATGGCCAAGGCCTGCAGCAATGGTTTTTGCTGGGCGATACGTGGCCAGAATAACGAGTACCATTATCATATCTCTTTCAGTTCGACTTGGACATTTGCTGCTGGTGAATTGATGCAGCTCGCTTCTTGCGCTCGCAGCGCGGGATAAACTGCGCAGGTCGAGAGCCAGTGACAGAAGTCTAACCGTGAGACCAATGCCTTAGGAGCCGAATGCCATTGACCTCAATGACCTTGAAAATATGAATACCGAGAGCTACAGTCACTCGGCTCTGGGTGTCATTTGAAGAAACATATCGCCCGAGCCGCTTCGCATTAAAGAAACAACGGGCATGCGAGACAGGTCAACAACACTTTCTTCCCTGAGGAATGTCTACGAGATGTAGGAAACGAGAAAGGACGCGGTTCACGTCCCGGTGCTGCGATACCACTTGGACAGTGACCAGGAACCGCTCCGCCTCTGCTCTAGAGTGCACTTCGAGACACTTGCATCGTCTGACCCAACTATACGGCACCCAACATACATTACAACGTGGAGCCTCCCAGATTACGGGGTTACGAGACGCAGACCATGACTACCGAACGCTACCGCTGCAGATAATTCCACTCCGAAGCCCCGCTGCCAGCGCAGTCTGCCGCTGCGCCCACGAGGCATGCAGGCCCTTGTGCGCACGTGCGCGCGGGCCCTCGGCGCCTGCGCAGATGGCCGGCCCCGCAAAGCGCCGCACCGCGCCGCGCCGCGCCGCATGCAAACGTAGCCGTGGACAAT